GCTGCATGGGGCGGCCTGCCTCGGAATGGGCCCGACTCGGCTCACCCGAGCGAGGGCCCTCGTGGCCTCGGCGCTTGGCGGGAATGCAATCGGTAAGGACCGACTGCTGCGCCTGTGGACGCTGCGCTGCGACCCCCTGGTCGACGCTTGCACGAAGCCACTGCTCAAATGGGCGGAGGCCGTCTTTGCTGGCAGCCATGAGGAACTCATGACTGCGGGGCGGCGCAGAGCTGTCGCGGCGGCCGCGGCCGCCACGCCTGGGAGCAGCCCCTGGAGACAGATAAAAAGACCTGCCTCAGCCGTCTGGGCCACTCTCCGTCTCCTCTCTTGGACGCGGCCTGCCCCTCACGTTTTCTCCGACCATCTCGGGCAGCAGTGGGAGTTGCGTAGGACGGCCCCGCAGTGTCTCGAGAAGCTGATCTGGTCCCGTCTCGAATTCGCGGTGATGACCTCCTGGGCGGCCTCCAGGGACCTCGGGATCACCCGTCCCTTCCTCGAGCCCATTCGGGCTCTCCTTCGACGAAAGGCTAACCGATCGCCGCAGAGGCGATCGGCTATCCTGGCCTACATGGGCCGCGATTTCTGGACCCAAGAGAAAGTCTGGCGTGCGGGTTTCGGGGACGACAGGTCCTGTCAAGCCTGTGGCGCCGAAGTCGGATGCCAGCACCATCGTTTCTTCCGCTGCCCAGACCGAGGAGCAGCGAGAGCCACCGTCGCCGAGGATGAGGGCCTCCAAGGGATCGTGCATCGTGCTGGAACCTCCTCCTCGGATTCCCTCCTCTTCTCCCGTGGGCTTCACGAGCACCCCTTGGAGGACCCACTGTCTGATTGGATTTCTGCCCGAAAGGAAGAAAATCCTGATTTTGTGAATCCCCCGTTGGTCTCAGGTTGGGCCTGCTCCGACGGCTCGGCCAGAGGCCCTCCAGGGCTCAAGAGTTTCGGCTGGGGCTACGTTTTCCTGGACCAGGACGGGGGGGCTGTCAAGGCCATGCGGGGTACCCTCCCAGGGCTGCGTAGTCTCGCCTCCGTCCTCCGTGCCGAATTGTATGGATTGCGCAAGCTGCTGGCTAGCGCTCACCCGCCTTTGCGGGTAGGGATCGACAATAGTTCGGTCATTCGAGGCCTCCGTAGGGGCCCCCGCTGGTGCTGCAGCTCTCGGAGGCCGCGCGCCGACCTCTGGGGCAGGATCTGGGCCCTGCTCCAGGGCAGTCTCGGCCAGGAAGGCGGCTTCCAGGCCGTCAAGGCGAAAACCCACGCTCGTGGGCCCAAGGACGACTCCCACGAGAGCCGTCTCGATTTTCAAGGGAATCAACTGGCAGACAGCGAGGCCCGCCTTGGGGCCGACATGCAGGAGGTTCCCGCGTGGAAGGCCCAGACCTGGACCACCCGCTCGGCGGAGGTCCAGGCGGTGCTGACTCTGGTGGCGGGGGTGACGGGGCGGACTGCGGATTTCGGGGTTCCACGGGGAGGCCTGCCGCGGGCTCCCGCGGAGCCCGCCGACGGCGGCAGGGGCCGCCCGAGGGGGCTCGCGCCCACGCCCTCCTCTGGAGGAGGGGGGCGTGGCGGTGCGCGACGTGTGGCCGCAAGGCTTTCTCTAGCAAGGCCAGGCGCGCGTTGGCGCGCAGGCCCTGCCAGGGTAAGATGAGGGTGGATCGTTGTTGGGGAGTCGAGCTGGGGCGGGGGGACGGGGAAGGAGACATCTCTCCCGCCCGTCGCGGGGCGGCTCTTGGACACGAGCTGCACCGCGTGGGCCAGTACACCTGCTGCGATCGGTGCGGTGTTTTCTCGAGCGAGAGGGGGTGCAAGCTCCTTGGTGCCTGCGGAGGGGCTCCAGCGAACCCCACCGCAGAGTACCGCCTCTCGCTCCTGCGCCGAGGCAGAAATCCTTACGCAGTGAAGGTCTCCCTGGATGCGGTACCGCGCTCCCTGGTACAGGAGGAGTGCGCCGCCTTCTGGGAGTGCCTCATGGACTGCATCGGGATGGAGGCGGGAAGGCACCCCGTGGCGGAGTGCCCGCCTGTCCCACTTAATATTGTGGCGAGCTGGGGCGGGGACCGCCAGGCATCGTTCTTGCAGCAAAAAAAAAACCTCATCCTCCTCCTCTTCCTCCTCCTCATCCTCCTCCTTCTCCTCCTCCTCCTCCTCCTCCTCCTCCTCCTCCTCCTCCTCCTCCTCCTCCTCCTCCTCCTCCTCCTCCTCCTCCCCTCCTCCTCCTCCAACCTCCAACCTCTCATCTGATTATTATTTTCGGTTCGTCTTCGCCTGCTTCTTCTTCGTCTTCTCTTCGTCTCATTCTCCTCTGCTCCGCCTCCCCCTTTCCCTCCCCCTCTCCCTCCCTTACCCCGCCCTCCCCCCTCCACTTCCACGCTCTCCCCTCCCCTCCTCCTATCTTCTACCTCTCCTCCTATTTCTTCCTCATCCCCCCCTTATTATTCTTTACTTATTAGTAGTTCTGCTTCTTCTTCGTCTTCCTCTTTCATCCTCATGTCCTCCTCTCCTCCCCCTACCCCTCCCCTCCTCCTCCTTCCTCCTCCTCCTCCGCATACTCCTCGCTCCTGCTCCTACTCCTTCTCATTCCTAATCCCATCCTCCTCCTCCTCTCTCCTCCTCTCCTCCTCCTCTTCCTCATGCTCCTCCTCCTCCTCCACCTCCCCCTCCTTGCTCCTGACTTCCCCCTCCCCCTCCCCCATCTCCGCCTTGCTCCTCCTCCTCCTCCTCCTCTCCTCTCCTCCTCCTCCTTCCTCCTCCTCATCCGTTTCCTCTCCTCCTCCCTCCCTCCACCTACCCTCCTCCACCCCTCCTCCTCAGCTCATCCTCCTCCTCCTCCTCCTCCTCCTCCTCCTCCTCCTCATCATCATCATCATCAGCATCATCAGCAGCATCATCATCGTCCTCCCCTTCCTCTTCCTCCCCTTTTTCCTCCTCGTCTGATTGTTCTTATCAGCATCATCATTCTTATTATCATTATTAGTATCCGCATCCTTCGGACTAGTAATACTACTATTATTCGTGTGGAAATACTACTATTAGTAATCGCATTGGTGGTATTATTAATATGTTTATTACTTATAGTATTAATGTACGTTATTCTGAGTGGCAGTATTGTTATTACCAGCGCCAGTATTATTACGACGCGCGGTGGTAATAGCATTACTAATGGTATTATTATTAGTGTCGTTACTTTGTGTATCATTATGATTCGTAATACTACTAAAACTAGGTTTATTCATATTATTGTGGGTATGAATGCTAATATTATTAGGATACTACTAGTAGTAGTATTAGTTGTATTATTCGTATTACTACTACTACTACTACTACTACTACTACTACTACTACTACTACTACTACTACTACTACTACTACTACTACTACTACTACTACTACTACTACTACTACTACTACTACGACTACTACGACTACGACTACGACTACTACTACTACTACTACTGCTACTACTACTACTACTACTACTACTACTACTACTACTACTACTACTACTACTACTACTACTACTACTACTACTACTACTACTACTACTACTACTACTACTACTACTACTACTACTACTACTACTACTACTACTACTACTACTACTACTACTACTACTACTACTACTACTACTACTACTACTACTACTACTACTACTACTACTGTTACTACTACGGTTATTAGTACTATTAGTACTATTATTATTAGTATTATTATTAGTATTAGTCATATTAGTATTAATATTATTAGTATCATTATTCTTATTCTTATTATTATTATTATTCGTCGGCCTCTTGCTCCTCCTCCTCCTCCTCCTCCTCCTCTTCCTCCTCCTCCACCTCATCTCCCTCCCCCTCCCCATCCCCCTTCCCCTCCCCTCCCCCTCCTCTCCTCCTCCCCACCTCACCCTCCTCCTCCCCTTCCTCCTCCCCCTCCTCCGCCCCTCCTCCTCCTCCTCTTCCTCCTCCTCCTCCTCTTCCTCTCCTCCTCCTCCTCGTCCTCCTCGTCCTCCTCGTCCTCCTCGTCCTCCTCGTCCTCCTCCTCCTCCTCGTCCTCCTCCTCCTCCTCGTCCTCCTCGTCCTCCTCGTCCTCCTCCTCGTCCTCCTCCTCGTCCTCCTCCTCGTCCTCCTCCTCGTCCTCGTCCTCCTCCTCCTCCTCCACCTCGTCCTCCTCCTCCCCTCCTCCTCCTCGATGCCCTGTTCCCGAATCGAACCGCATGTCTGTTAGGATTCAAATAATCCAACGCCCAGACAGGGAGTCTGGGCCCCCGAAATCGGTAACCCGTCTTGGCCCCCCATCCGGGCCCACCCCCTCCGTGTACCTGTGCACAGGAGTTCAAAGTCTTCTGCCGCGAGGTGCCCTTTTTCGAAGACGTGGTCCCCGGAAGCTCCGACCCATCCCAGCATGACGGCGCCAAGGCCCAGCGAGGGCACCAGGATGCCGAAAACGATGGGAAAGTTCCGGCTTTGACATTTTCAATGCGTTGGATATCTGGACTCCAGGTGGTGGTCGTGCCAAAAATGGGGCCTCCAGCGGGCGTTCGGGGCGATCTGGGCACACCGGGAATGCGCTCTCGGCGAGGCGAAGCGCTGCTGGAATGCACCCAGGCTGGAAACCCTCCGGAACCAACAGAAACGTCCAAGAACGTCAGAAAGCGTACGTCCCGATGCCTCCAAGACGCTGGATGCCTGGGCTCACATGGTGGCGGAGGAAGGCCGCCGCATCCTCGGCCCACATCGTAGGGTCGGATCGCATCAGATCGTCGAGACATCGCAATCTAACGGGATCGGACTGGCCGACATCGCTATCAATGAAGAGGCCCAGGGACACACGAACAAAAAGATACAAATCCCATGATTCCCAATCTTTTCGGTATTTCCTGTATGTTCGTCTTCCCCACCACTTCCCATATGTTCCATATTCAAATGGGAATCGGCGATTGTTTGTGTTTATGTGCTCCCCCCCCCCCGAGCGATGGTGGCAGAGGGAGGCGCCCCGAGAGAGGCCGCCTCCTCGGTCAGTGCCACCGCGGGTACCTCGTCCTGCCGCGGGGGCGCGTTCGGGGATAAGACCGTGACCATGAAACCGTTCTTGAAACCGCCACCGCGCACGGAATGGTGGACATGACCTTCTGAGTTCCCCGGAAGCGTCCCACCCTCCACGGGGGGAAGCTGCTGCAGAGCCCCCTCCACAAAAAACAATCGTCGGGACTCAGAGGCCCGGCCAGCCTCTGCCGACGACACCATCCGGCCAATCATGCGCCAGAGCACCCCTCGGCGCGCACGGGCCCGCAGCGCTGAGGAAGGACGGCATGGTGGACATGATTCGGGGTGGACGTCATGTGCAGTCAAGATCCACAGCAAGGATGCAAGGTAAAGTGGGCAAAGCCCTTGAAGCCGGATTTGCCGCTCAGGCCCCGGGGACGTCACCGTCGGCCCAGGCGGATGGGCTCCAGACGCTGTGATGCGAGGGCAGCCGTGACGAAGCCACGCGTCCTTGCCATGGGTTTTGACTCTGCGCCACTGCGCTTCGGGCGAGGGCCCGCAGACCCGTCGGTCGGCAGAGGTGGGCAGAAACGTGAAGCAGGAAGCTGTCGGCAGCAGATGGGGCTCCCGCCCGCCCCCCAGAAAGGGAGGGGAGAAGGAACACCACCCGACCCTTGGCTTCGGCAGGAAGGCTCCTGAAAGAGATCGGGACCTGGGAATCCAGAGATGCCTACTTCCAACGACCGGCGTGTACGCTTCTTGGCGGCGCGCAGAAGGGAGTAGAGGAAGGGGAGAATGCTTCTTAGAAGGCGGCTGCCTCTCAGAAGGCGCTGGCCGTCCTTCTAAGAAGCCAGAGGCGCGCCGCGTCTGAGAAGCACCCGAGCAGCTTCTTAGAAACAAAGAACTGCTTCTTAGAAGCAAGAACTGCTTCTTAGACGCAAGGCACCCGCTATTTGGAAGCACGCCAGGAACAGCTTCTAAGAAGCAACCGCGAGCTTCTTAGCTTAGAAGGGGCGCCCGAGCCTTCTCAGAAGGGCGGGTGCTTCTATGAAGCCCCCCCCCCTCCCGGCACCCGCCTCTGCGCGTGCCTGAGCTCCAGGCGAAGGCCTGCATGCCTCAGCGTCTGTGGGCGCGGCTCCCACGCGCGCCGCGGGGGGGGGGGGGGGGGGCGGAAAGCAGGGGTCCCGTCGGGGCCGCTGCGGAGCAGCAGTGAGTGCCCTGCCCTGTTAGGCACCCACGACGGCGGCCCCGCCGCTCCCCCAGAGGCACCCGGCGGCTCGCTCGGAACCCTCGGGGCGGCCGGCTTCTTTCTCCGCTCTGGGCCTGCGGAGGCCAAAAGGACCCCAACAAGACGAGGCCAGAACGAGACAAGATCGGGGGAAGAAAACAGTCGAGAATCCCTGGGATCTGGCGGCTCCGGAGGATGTCTCGGGCGCCGCGGCCTCCTCAGCGCGTCCTGAAACGCCCCGCCCGACCCAGGCACCCCTCAGGATTCCTACGAAGAGGCCCGAAAGCCTCGACCTCGGCCCCCGACCCTTGAACCTCGATCCTCAGGAGGAGCTCGCGGGCTCCTCGGTGGTGACATCCCCTCGGGCTCACGGCCCTCGTGGTCCCCGCGCAGCCACGGCTGGGCTCGGCTCTGAGAAGCGGGCCGCGGGCGTGGTGCTGGGCCACGGGGGCCTCAAAAAACAACGCAGGGTGAAGGCCGGCCACCAGGTACCAGGGGACCGATTCCGCTGGCTCCTTTGCAGGTCCTCCAGCGGCGTCGCCGCGGGCATTGTCCGCTCGATGTATGAAGTCACCTGCCAATCCGCGGCCTCTGTCGGTGTTGTGGGACGGACGCGGGCTTGCCAAGGACGGGGACGGGGTCGATCGGTCTGAGGCCCCACGCCTCAACAGCAATCTAGCCGTCGGGTGCCTGGGCCCCCAGCCGCCTGCCGCGCCCAGGCCTGCGAGGCCATCTAGCCCGGCGGCCTCTCAAGATGGAGCCAGAGCGCGTGGGGCCGGAGGATCGCTCTCGCATCGTCGGATCGGCGATGCACCTGCGACGGCGGGCTGGACAGAATCGGGCCTCGAGATCGCGCCCCATCGCCGGTGCATCGGCGATGGGGCGGGATCCTCCCGGCCCGAGCGGCCCGAGGAGTCGAGGGCCGAGGGCCGAGCCTGGACAGCCGACAAACGCTCGAGGCGGCCAGTAACTCGCCGCTGCGAGCCTCGTGCAGGACGGCTTCGTGCACAAGGGCCGGCAGAAGACGGCTCGACATGATGAGAGGCCGGCCATGGGCCACGGGTCGAGAGGTGGCTACCATATGGTCCATGCCCGAAACAGGTGGAGTCGCTGGCTGTCAGGTGGCATGGGAGGTGATGGAAGCGGACTGCTCGCATGCCACAACGACTTGGCGGCCTGGACAAGCGCCCACGCTTTCCGCCCCGCCGCCCCATCTGGTGCCACCGAATTTTGGCTGCCCTCCATCGTAAATCGGTCGGATCGCTTGCAAAAGCCGAATCGGCAGAGTCGAGCCCCACACGTGACGCCGAGGGGTGCTCGCCCCGGGCGGGCGCGCAGACGAATCGATCGACGCCGCGCACAGGCGTCGACATGCGCCACCGAATCCGGTGATGAACACGCGGGGATCTTCCCTGCGCCACTGATGCCCGCCATCCGCACAAATCCACGGCCATCCAGGGCCATTGCATTGCTGTCCCGTGGCCGTTCCGAGGCGCATTCTCCGAGGTTGGTGGGATCAAGGACAGCCCCGCGGCCCAGGAGCCCCCCCAAGTGGGCCCAGGAAAAAAGAGACAGGCCCCTATCGAGGTCCAAGAAGCAATCCGCAATGCTCAAGAGGCCCAGGGGCAGCCAGGTCGGCCTGATTTCCGGCCTCTGCTGGGTGTGTTTGCGCATATGCCACCGTGCGCCGTCTGTGGTTTCAAAATGTGGCTCTCGCCCTAGCGCGGCGCACATTCGTTTAACAAATGATCCCAGTGCGACACTACCTAGGAGTTGGAGCCCCTAGGAAAGCAGCATTAGTAGTAACAGTACAGCTAAGCTAAAGCTAAAGATAAGCAAAGCTAAGCTAAAGCTAAGCTAAAGCTAAGCTAAAGCTAAGCTAAAGCTAAGCTAAAGCTAAGCTACAGCTAAGCTGACGTTAAGCTAAAGCTAAGCTAACGCTAAGCTAAAGCTAAGCTGAAGCTAAGCTAAAGCTAGGCTAAAACTAAGCTAAAGCTAAGCTAAAGCTAAGCTAACGCTAAGCTAACGCTAAGCTAAAGCTAAGCTAAAGCTAAGCTGAAACTAAGATCACGCTAAGCTAAAGCTAACAACAGCTAAGCTACAGCTAAGCTAAAGCTAAGCTACAGCTAAGCTAAAGCTAAGCTACAGCTAAGCTACAGCTAAGCAACATGTAAACTAAAGCTAAAGCTAGGCTAAAACTAAGCTAAAACTAAAGCTAAGCTAAAAGCTAGGCTAAAACTAACACTAAGCTAAACTAAACTAACACTAAAAGCTAAAGCTAAAAGCTAAGCTAGGCTAAAGCTAAAGCTAAAAACTAAACTAACACTAAGCTAAAAGCTAGGCTAAAGCTAAGCTAAAACTAAAGCTAAAAGCTAAGCAACATCTAAACTAACACTAAGCTAAAGCTAGGCTAAAACTAAGCTAAAGCTAAGCTGAAGCTAAGCTAAAGCTAAGCTAAAGCTAAGCTAAAGCTAAGCTAAAGCTAAGCTAAAGCGAAGCTAAAGCTAAAGCTAAAGCTCCCAGGGGACTGGGGGAACCGCTCCCAGGGGACCGGGGGAACCGCCTGGGGCACTTTCCACTGCCCGGCCCCTTTGAGCAAACAGAGTAAGAACCCTTCTAGGCAGAGCCTAGGTAGGGAATAAGAACAAACATGTCAGTCAGCATGGTAATATGCATCGTCCTTACATCCTGGCTACACGTCGTGGCAACACTACCAACACTATTGATGAGTATGACGCTAATGATGATGGTGATGATGACGATGATGAGGATGATGATGACGATGGGGATACCAATAATCACAACAATAATAAGACTAGTAACAATTGAAAAAACGAAAATGATATGCTGTGCTGCGCTATGCTATGCTACGCTATGCTATGCTGTGCTCTGCTATGCTAAAGCTCAGCGCAGCGAAGCTAAGATGAAGGTAAGCTAAGCTAAGATAAACCTGAGCTAAGATGAAGCTAAGCTAAGCTAAGATTAAATAAGCTAAGCTCAGATGAGATAAGCAACGCTAAGCTAAGGGGACGTAACTGGGGATACCGCGGGGCGGATACTGGGGGAACCGCCCGGGGCGCTTTCCACTGCCAGGCCCCTTTAAGCCCAGAGAGTAAGAACCCTTCTAGGCAGAGCCTAGGAACAGAATTTGCAAGAGTTTCACGGGTTGAGGGCGGGTGGTTTTCAAAATGTGGATCTCGCCTTAGCGCGGCGCACATTAGTTTTACACATTTGCAAGAGTTTCACGGATTGAGGGCGGGTGGTTTTCAAAATGTGGCTCTCGCCTTAGCGCGGCGCACATTCGTCTTAAAACATTTGCAAGAGCTTCACGGATTGAGGGCGGGTGGCTTTCAACATGTGGCTCTCGCCTTAGCGCGGCGCACATTCGTCGTACAACATTTGCAAGAGCTTCACGGATTGAGGGCGGGTGGTTTTCAAAATGTGGCTCTCGCGGCGCACATTCGTCTTAAAACATTTGCAAGACTTCACGGATTGAGGGCGGGTGGTTTTCAAAATGTGGTTCTCGCCTTAGCGCGGCGCACGTTCGTCTCAAAACATTGCAAGCGTTTCACGGGTTCCCATCGTCAACGTACCAGAAATAATGTTTTTGAACAGATTCAGGACTACGCAGGCGCTACAGGTACGTTGATTCGCTGTGTTGAAGTCCCAGAAATGGCGTGCTGGCACGATTTTGGATCGTCAACACGCAAGAATCAGGTTGATCCATGGCGTCGGGATCCCGAGAACAATGTATTGGCATGCTGCAGGGTCTTCAAACGGTTGTCTTCCAACGAGGCATTTCCCTCAATTGACATGAACCGTTGTAGGG